AGTCCCTCGCGCAACAACGGGTTCAAGGCCTTCTTCAGCTTCGTCAGGAACTGGCCATCTGGAACCAAGAGCGCAAGCCTCTTGTGCAGGCTCACCCCCGAACACAGGTTGTCGACATGAAGGATGGCATCCATCACACGCCGGGCGTAGTGCTGCATCCGCTCATCTTCGACCTTCGAAGCCTGAAAGATGTAGGACTTCACAGGCGGGCCGTCGGTGCCCGCGGGCACAGCAGCTTCGGCATTGACTTGGAACGAGGCAGCGCCCAGGACGATTTGCTTCGTGCTCCGGACAACTTCTACCAGCTGCACCTTCTCCATCGCTGGAAACGCGGCTGTCACGGCCGAAGACTGGGCGTTGTCGGACAGTAGCAGCCGTCTGCTGCAATGCAGATCGTCAAGAATGCCGCGGTCGACCCCGTCTCGGTACATGTTGTGGCTCTCGTCAATGACAAGGAGATCGAACTTGTCATTCTCGTCGTGGTTCATGAACTCGATGTGCCCGTCTTGCAGCACGGGCATACGAAGCCGGAGGAGCTTCTTATATGGCTTGAAAAGGACAACCAATGCAGAAAGAAGCTCCAAATCCTTCCTTTGAGACCGGATGCGTACGGCCAGCCACTGGACGAAGTAGCGGATCAGCTCGACGGTAGCGGCTACATACAGGACGCGACGAGCTGGCTCATCAGCCCCTGGATTCAGAGCATCGATCACCCGCTCGACGGCCACGAAGGTCTTGCCGGCACCGGCAGGAGCAAACAAGTGCACCATGTCCGAGCCTTTGATGGCACTAAGACGCTCTCTCTGGTGACACGTCAGCTTGTCAAGGGCCCGGAGGCCGGCGTCGTACATTTCCATAAAGTGGGATTTGCTGACTTCCACCTCCCAGCGGGGATCTGCCAGGTGCGCGTTGATGTCTCGCTCGAGGTCGTCATTGAGGATTCGATTTCTGAGTTTGTGCAGGGTTCCGATGGACTTGATTTGCACCTTGGCTCTCAGGGCCACGAGGTCTGGGCGAAGCCGATGGGTGCCGATGTCGAGCACATCGACGTGCGGAAGGCACTCCATGAGGATCCCGCGCAGCTGCACATCACCTCAGTTTGCAAAACAAGAGTATCATGAGTATACCAATTGCTCTCCTCTGGAGGCCTGTGGCTTCACTCGCGTGCTGTCTCTGCTCCTAAGGTGCCGACCGACATGATCCAGCATGGCCTTCATGGTTGCAGCAGTGCTGCAAACGCAAAAGGCGTCGAAGGTCTGCCTGGTGAGCTGACATCGCAAAGTCCATCGCACCACGGTGTCATCGGAACCGTCCTCCTGCTCCGTGTCCACGAGATCCTGCTTCTCGACCGTGCCTCTCCTCCAGGACTTCGTGGCCTCGCACCAAGCGTCGACCAGTTTGGCTTTCTCAAACTGCTCTTCCAGCACGTCGAAGACATCCACCTCTTCGTAACTCCAGCCCATGTCCTTGGCCTTTGCCATCTCCATCTCCTGGGTCGCGCCCAGCTGCCCGGGTGGGAGGGCCACCTTCAAGCGTTGACCGTACTCGAGAGCCTCCTGAACCTTCTCGAGCCACTTGCTCTGCTCTCCACCACCGGGATCTGGCTCCGGCTTGTGATCACCTAAGCCGCGTGAGAGGGCACTGATGATAATGTGGGCTCGAAGTTTTTGTGAAGGGACGAGCTCCTGTACCAAAGCTTCTTGGGTGATAAAGTGGGAAAGGGACGAAGACAAACCGACTGTCTCTGCGATGAACACATGATTTGAGGAAATGCTGTCAGGTTCAGGCTGCCTGGCAACTTGGCATGTGGAACAGGAAGCTAGCAGCTAGGAGCTACGAGTGGCATGAACACTCCCGTCTCCTTGGAAAGCAACACGGTAAGCCGCAGCAGGAAAGAAAGGAACGAGTTGAGAGACTCAGCAGATGAAAGCTCAGCGATGTTGAGACAACACTGCTCTCCGCAAGAGTTTGGATGCAGGCTCGCAATGCGATTTCAGCTATTTGAGCCTTCAGTTTTGACCTGAATCAATCTCAGCGGACATGTTTCTTGGGCCCTTTGCCTCAATCGACTTTTTGTGGGCTATAGATGTGCTAACCTAGATCTGGCGATATCTGCGAAACTCCTGTGCCGACAAAGGCTTGGGACAACAATCCGCATGGCATCCGAGGCCAGGACCACTGTCCTCGTCGGCTTGGAAGATGCAGGCCACGGAATCTTGTGGCGACTCGCACGTCAGCATGTCCCAGCAGGCTGCATACTTCGCAGGGAAAGACATCCAGCAAGTCGTCGCCCCAGGAAGGATGCGCCCCTCGAAGCTGACTTTCGTTGGGAGGCCACGGGCAGGTCGACCCTTCGGCAACAAGTAGATCATCTCCTCGGGGCGCAACTCCTGGCGGCACAGTGACAGCCCTAAAGCAACGATGTAACCCGGAGCCCTAGAACAACGATGTTGGTGTGCGACCATCCCTGGGCCAAGTGCTGGAACTTGCTCCCGGCCCTACCGGCCTCCACAATGTTGCCGTCCCTCCAGCCGTCCTGCATCGTAGATGCGATGATGAAAATGACCGAGACAAGTTTGGGGTACGAGCAGAGAAGTAACTGACAAGAAGGCCAGTTCGTTAACTGACCTGTCTGAGTTCAGTTGTTGGATTCTTCGCAAGATACCTTCTCAAGACAGTCTGAACTCCGTGTTGTCTTTCTTCAGTGGTTTGCATCTCGTCACGGCGTTCTCTCGATCCGATTCCTCTGTTTCACAGCTCGACATGGCTTCGGCAACGATGCCGGGGAAAATTCCCGACAACCTACTCGTCGACGAGCCATGCTCTTTCAAGCGTTTCAGTTGCTGGCTCGATCGGAATCGTTTTCTTCGTGGCGATGGCAATCCCTTTGCAGGCAGGAGCTGAGTTGAACAAGCACCAACTAACCAAGAAAAAGCGCCACCGACGCACACAGTGTCCTGCTGCTTCTGAATTTTCTCGAGCAGGTCGAAGGACAACCCGACCTTGTTGGCCTCCGTTGAAATCCACTGCAGCTCTCGCTCCCTCTGGGATGCATCTGCGATGTCGGGCGCGCGGTACCACCGCTTGAAGATTGCCAGGCGGGTCGTGCCGTCCTGGTTCCATTCTGTCAAGCCGATCTTTTGCCCTTTCTGTTCGGCGATCTCCGGCAGACACCTCGCGAGCTCTTCCTCCGATTCCAGATCCACGCACTGATCCACTGCCCAAGCAACAAGCGGGCTCTGTGGGTCGAACCTGACGGGGATCTTCCAACGGTTGATGATGGGCCCAACTTGCTTCGAGACGGCACAGCAGGAAACGAGCCAGTCCACCCTCTGCACAAACGGTTCATCACACGGTTCATCGCAAGCTCGCAGCCG